ATCGCCAAGGCAGCCTGCCAGGGTGGCTGTACGCTGCTGTACGCCCGGGTACTCCTGCACAATGCCGCGCGCCCCACAGACCGACATGACTCTCCCCCCTCCCCCCCTCCCGCCTCTCCTTCTCTCTCTATCTCTCTCTCGTTGTCTGTCTCTGTCTATTTCACGCTCACACACACACACGCTCAAGCGTCCGTTGGCAAATACGTCGTTTGCGCCACGAGTTCGTTGCTGCGCGTCAGCGTCAAGCGAGCGGGATTAGATTCTTAGCAGTGATCCCACTTTCTAGGGGGGCTGTTGGCTGGGGCGCGAGGCCGATCGCGAGTCGAGTTCACTTACACCGTTGAGGGGGCGGCGGCCGGGCCGCTTATATTGCTTTGTGTGTCGCTCTGGCGGGCGGTGTTGGTGGTCGTGTCGCCCCGCCCCCCGCCCCTACCTCCCCCGCGCCGAGCCAGACGCCCTCAAAGACACCATGAATAGTCAGGCCCGACTGAGCCGAGAACGGGCGCATGCTAATCGAACACCTCCGGAAGTGTTTAGGAGAGCGGGGCGCGGTGGGTGTGGAGGCGGAGGTACCGAGTCGGCCCCCGCTCCGCGGCTTGGCTGAGGGGTGCGGGCCTATGCCGGTGATGGCTTGGCCCGGATGGGAATGGAGGGAATGGGTGCTGGTTCTGGTTGGGATCGTCCCGAGGAAGGGGTGGAGGGCGCGGGCCCGAGCGAGAGGAAATGGAGAAATGAATCGGGCCGCTCTGGCTCGGTGCCCTCCCAACATTGCTGGCTCAAACAGGGGGCCACGAAGACACTCACCTCTTTCCGAGACCGAAGGCGTACCGCCGCTCGTTGGGTAGTCGCTTGCCAAGCCCGAAGGAATAGTCCCTGCCGCTCCTCTTGCCCAGGCCGAACTCGTAGGCGCGGGCTCTCTTGCCGAGTCCGAACTCGTAGGCGCGAGTCCGCTTGCCCAGGCCAAACTCGTATGCGCGTGACCGCTTGCCAAGGCCAAACTCGTATGCGCGCGACCGTTTGCCCAGGCCGAACTCGTAGGCGCGGGCTCTCTTGCCGAGCCCGAACTCGTAGGCGCGTCTCTTGCCCAGGCCGAACTCGTAGGCCCGCCGCTTACCCAGGCCGAACTCGTAGGCTCGTCGCTTGCCCAGGCCGAACTCGTAGGCGCGAGCCCGCTTGCCCAGCCCGAACTGGTACATGGACGAGGCGCGCTTGTCCTCTTCCAGTTGGTCGTCGTCCAGCCGGTCGTCGGTTAGCGCCTCCTGCAACAGCACAGCACAACCCGTCAGGCGACATGAAAGCGAGCTCACTCACAGCACCTCCCCAGCCTCCCTAGCGCGAAGGGCGCAGGCAGACGGATCGCATGCGGGACAATATCCCGCGCCCCGCGTGCCTCGCCCCGCCCCGCCTCGCC